GATGAACCCTGGACAAACCTGCCACTCCTCGTTGAGTCCGGCAAGAACTTTGCAGCCCTTATGTCATCCAAGACTTGGATGAGCCTGGCCAGAGGTTCTGAAGCGGCATCCCTTGAATAGGTGTGCACCATCCTCAAGCCAGAATGTCCACTCGAGTGGTACCCAAGTTGCAACCTTGTCATGGCATCAATCCCATACTTGGCACAAAAGCTGAGGCAAGTTACCTTACAGCTATGGACTGATATCTTCCTGCGCACATCAACCTTCTTCTCACCAGTCAACAGTTTGCGCAACCACTGACTGGCCTCGTTTGAGGTCAAGTGACGCTGAGCAGGGTTGCCATCACTGTCAGGTGCCGGCATGATTGTATGAAATGGTGGCAGCATCACTCCAGCACTGTGTCGACTCTCCAACCAGAGCTCTGGCCAGCAGTCATCCGTCACTCCAAATGCTGGGGCTGTCAGTGGCAAAAATTGATGTTTAAACATTTCAGCACGCATTGTCTTGTGAGCAGCAGTGTGCCCTTCAATGAATCTCAATACATTGTTGGGATCCCTGTCCAAAATCACTTCAGTGCAATGCATAAGGTCGGACCACCTTGCCCTGGAGTACACTGCAAAAAGAATGGCGCCAACAAAAATCTTGTCCCATGTATCTCCAGTCAACAATCGTAAATGCAACGCTTTGAGCTCCTCCACCTTAAGAGGGGCCGCCTGTGCAACCACACCTGGCACTTCTGCTGTTGTAGCACCCATGCATCTTCGGCTCTGCACTACCTGTCCAAGCTGGTCCATCGACAAAACATGCCTGCAGAAACTCAAAGCCTCCAGACAACCTTTCAAACGGGAAGGTGGTGCACCACTGTTTCTCTCATCTGTGAAAAATTTATACACTGCAGGTTCATCTGGAGGAAAATTACCCATGCCAAATGCACTGCACATCTTTTCCACCGATCTTACACGTTTCAACAGTGTTGCTGGCGCACGTCCTCTGAAGACATCTGCAAGCAATGTCAGTTTTCCCAGCTCGGTGGGCTCACCATCCAACTGGGTCCTGATGACCGTCTTTGCCTGAAAATAGGACGACACTACAAGCCATCTCTTCAACGCACATTGAGCCAGCGACTCTCTCTCTTCTTGCCAGGTCTGATCAGTTTTGTTAATGACAATGTCTTCATGTGTAAAACCATCATCAGAAACCTTTAAGCGCTTGGCCCTCTTGTGGTCGGTCCCAGTCGCTGCATCCGAGGTGGCAGGGGCAAAAGGGAGTGGAAGTTTCTTTAACCCCACCGATGTCCAACTGTGCTTCAAAAATACACCATCACCAAAAATGTCAGCCCATACACCTTGTTCCCAGACAGGCTTTGGGGGTTCCACAGGGATCAGGGCATAAGCCGCATCGACACACGCTGCAATGTTGGGCACAACTGGGTCCACTCCGAACCTTGCTTCAAACAACGTTGATTGGCGCCCTGACGAGATTGAAGAACCATCCAACAAGCTGTCAAAATGCGACAATGGATCACCCCCCAGGTTTTGTTCCACGTCCCCTGCAAACTCCTCGAAGCTGGACTGTTGTGGATATCCAGCAACATCATCACCAGAAAGGCCTGTAGAGGGGACCGCACCTGAAAGATCAAATCCATCAAAAACAGGACTACGACCTCCACCAAATTCTGTTGATTCAGCACACTCCGAATTCCAACCCTGCTCAACCAAGTGTGAAAATGAATCGGTCAAAGCAAGATCTTGACTGTCTGTCGTGGCATCTCTCATCACTGGAAACTGAGAGGGCGGCGAGCGCTTGGATGACATCGTAGTGACAGATATAACAAGCAAAGCAAGAAATGGCAACTTGAGACCTGTCTGTTTCATTCAAAAACAGCCAAATTGTCAACCCTTCGTCCTGATACCAGTTGAAGAAGTACACTTGGCAAAGAGGAGGACGATGAAGCACTCTCTGATTGGCGAAAAGCTCTGGGTGATTGCGCAGCAATAGGAACATCAATCTTCTAAGTGAAGAAGCCAAATGAAAATACCAGCAACAGTGAAAATGACACCAGCCGTAAAAGTGCAAATACAGTGAGTCCAAGTCCAAGCCAACACTGGTTTAGGCGTTGGCTGTAGGCAAACTGCAGCGGATATGGCAACGCGTCCCCGCTGCCGCACCCTTGAAATTTCGCCGACCATGGGCAAAACACTCACCCTCACACACTTGAGACCAAAATGTCACCATGACATAAATTCATGAGACAAGGTTACAAGAAGACATGTTTCAAGTGGACAAAGTGTTTTGCACCCATAAGTAAAACCACCTCACCTGCCTTTCCTTAAGATTTAAAAATGGACTGTTTCTCTTGCAACGAAATTCGACACTGGTTATTTGGTTTAAACGTTCAAGACAGAAAAACAGGCGTAACTGCAGTTTCTCTTCTTAACCCAAGGTAACGAAGCAGAAACGGAAGTCCAATGTTAAATAAAAGTTTATCCTTTTTCGTACCTCAACGGAGGGCACCCATCTCAGATGTTCGAAGCAACGTCAAGAATTGAAACGGATATTCCAAATACCATCTCCGTCTGATTCACACTCCTATAAGGAGTCAAGGAATCTCCGAGATCGATGAAACCGCATCATTCTGACTTAACTGTCTAGCGAATGCTTCTGAAAGCATTCGTCCATGGTCATAAAGCTAAATAAAGCTTCAAACTGTATTCAAAGTAGCTTGAGCTCCGTGTAGATTCACTCAGACTCACAGGTCGATATCTCAAATCATCTCTTGCAGCTCCGTGTACCGCAAAGGAATACCGAAACTACTTAAGCCTGTTGTAGACACCTTCCCATAGTCCAGTTTCACTACTGAAGACTCAATGAAAGTCAGGTCGCACCAATGCCAAGTTGCACCCCACAAGGGTACAAACTTCCACACCCCCTTTCGACATGACATTCATTTCTCTCTATACATACTCAGATGCATATCCAGTGTGAACCTCGCTATACCTTCAAGGTCAAACTCGTAGAATACGTCGTATTCGCCAGGAGACTTCGATGCTCAAAGCACCTCAACGGAAAATGAAGTCTAAACTCCTCTGAAACATTCGAAGCTTCCAAAAACATATAACTGTCTCTGAGAAATCACCTGATCCTCAAAGAAATAGACGGTTGTTCCTCCAACACTTCGCTCATCATAAATAAACAGCCCATCCATATCCACAACCATCGTCAGCGTTGATGTCAGCAATACTCCATAGAGTTCAGTGATACCAGAGCTTGATGCTTGGACATCGTTCTCAACGTACATCCCTGAAATGTCATAACACCTGTGGAAATTCCACGACATCCGGTCGCTTTTCGGATCGATTTCTTTCTTCCAATAGCAGATCATCAACTGATCGAATAGACCATGGCGTCAATTCACGATCAACTACAGTGCTGTTTGTTGTTCCCTAAAACAAACGAAAACACAACAAAACACCAACAACACACACACACACGAAATCCAAGACGAAGACAGACGAAGCACTGTCGGAGTCAACACAAAACAAAGGCCGACTGTTTCAGCTAATCCACGTCTTCCATTGGAAGATAGGCGTGTCAGACAAGCGAAACTGTCATCAGTCCCGACTACTCAGATAAAATCCACTATCGTGGAACTAAAAATTAAGCTCATGGCCTTGCGGCACCAAGCCGACCCAGCTTCAGACAAGCTAAGTGCGAGGCGCGCTAAGCTCAGGACATATTTCCAAAAAATAAAACAGACCTTGCCTCCTTTTGAGGTAAAATCCACTAATCCGAAAACATCACCAAAATGAATTCCGATCAGCATAAAGGCTGATCTATCGCATATTGAGCAAACAAGCAAAACACAACCAAAGCAACTTATGACCATTCTACTTACAAACATATTGGCTACGTCAGGGAAATCCATTCCACTGACATCAACATATTTAGAACCATCAATAGCACAATCCCAACAACATTGACATGGACTTCAAATCCGGGATGTCCAATCCACAGACATCCATAAATAAAACAAAACCAAAAACACTTTTACATGTGTTTCCATCAGACATTTAGCCTGGATCCAACGTGATTCTTCGTTCATTCGAGAATCGGATCTGGCCATGTCATCATCTGGAAAATGGCGGCAGACATACACAAACCATCATCAACTCCAAAGAAAACATTCACAAAACACAAATTCGCAACGAATCCACAAACATGTTCATGTGCAACTTGTGTCTCATGTATGCACATCCACATCCACTGCCAAGAGTCGATCCTTCCAGGATACAACTCAACGAAATCCCTTGCCCCCTTTCAAGATCTGCTTTCCATCTCTCCTTTTCTGCTGAGCACAGATATCTGAAGCGACGGCAACGAATCCATGATGAATAGAGTGAACCTCGAGCTGGCCAACGGTTGGAACACCAGTCACCAACTATTCTCTCTACCGCACAGGTTGCAAGAAATTCAGAAAAGAATGTGCACCCTGGGTTTCACCCAAAAGAAGCAGGCGGGCCTCTCTCAGCTCTCAGTAGCCAATGTCCCGAACTTTCATTCTCAATAGATCCTCCTGAATTGAGAATTCCCATCTCGAATCATTCCCAATCCCTGGGGAGCCCAAAGACTGGTGATTCCACCGATCTGTTCAGGACGATATGCCGTCGGTGACAATGTCCTCTGTACCCCCGTTCCCGCATCTCTGGTAACGATGCCCACACGCTGGCACGGTGTTGGGATCGGAAGGGGAGTACTTGGTCTCTGCCCATTCGGCTGTTCCGGGCAGAACGCCATAAAAAGCGACACCGGCAACGCTGGAGGTGGCAAAGGCGTGGTGACATGGGCACCAGGAGCTGATCCAGGCATTGGCACTTCTCCTAAACTGGTGGATCCCGTACCTGGCAATGGCACTCCGCCTGAGCTGGTGGATCCCGTACCTGGCAATGGCACTCCGCCTGAACTGGTGGATCCCGCACGTCCAGTGCTTCCAGGAGTCTCCATCACTGGAGCACCAACTGCCGGAACACCAATTGCGTCAGGGGCGTTCCAGTTTCTGTTGCACCTTCTGACACTGGAATTCCAGCTGGGATTGCCGTACCATGAGGCTGCGCCCTCAACAGGTTCACCAGTTCTTGGATGTGTCCACCCAGGGTTTCGAGGCCACCGTTCATACTGGCTCCCAGCCTCTCTGCTTGTTTTTCAATCTCTCCTTGTACACCTTTGATGTTGGTCTCTATCGTCTGGCTTCCAGCCATGGCCCAGCGGCTCGTATTCGCCCAGCGATCAAAGGCCTTCAGGAGTTTGGTGACTTCCCCAGCTTGGAATGCCACCCCTGCTGTCATAGTGGTGATACAATGGTTGGTGCCTTTGATTTGTGTGCTGAGCTCTTGGAATCCCTTTTTCAACTCCAATCGCCCATTGTTGAGTTCATCAAAGGCAAGACCCAGATCCTCAATCACTTTGCCGATCTTCATGGTACACTCCGAGAGCTTCTGAGCGAGTGTCAAGATCTCCATACCAGCAGGCGCCAAAGACGGTGCAGCCGTCATGTCACTCGGAGCTCCCTCTGGCATGCCCGGCACGGCAGCCATATCACCCGGAGTTCCCTCCGGCATACCCTGGGCTACTTCAGGCACCCCTGGAGTTTCAGATTCAGCTGCCTCACGTACTGGGGACCTGGAACGGGCTCGTCCTTCCTCGGCCATTTTCAGCGTGCGTTCTAGGCGCGTTCTAAGAGCTTGTACCACTCTACTTGACAGTCCCGGCTGACAATAGAGCCTCATGCCCTACAACCCAACGCTACACATGCCAAACAATCAAACCAATCAACATGTTGTGTAAGTTCAACAATGGAATTAACTGACAAAGATGTTTCCCAAAATACCAGATGTCTCCAACATACTGGAATTTTGCGAACCATTGACACACATGTTTCAACATGCAATAAAGGTCTGTACTCGTCCTTAAATCATGGAAATTGACCAACCCCTGTACAAAATAATGCCAGTCCTCAATCCATGAAGGACCACCATGAGTTCTAGTTCACTGTGCGCTCCCTAAGATATGCAGTGCAGATTCACTGTCTCTCATTGACATGCATGCAGGCATTCTGAAAGAAAACATGTCTCCGTGGTTTCGCGAGAACCCTTTGACAAGTCATCTTCACAAAGCTGCACCCATCAAACGACACACTGACAGCAAATCTCAATTGCAAACAAGAAACAAGGCGCATTAAAAACACACAAACTTGTTTGGGTTTCACGTTTCGTTCGTTTCGTTTGTTTCGTTTAAGTTGACAATTCCACACGATAGCAGCTTCTCATCTTACAACATGCTTGCATCGACGACCAAAGCATTCTTTCATCGGCCACAGGCATCCAAAAAGAGAACCTTCGCCAACTTGCAACAGCTGGCACGGCTCAAACAGAACCTAAAGTACAATACTCTACAACTTGCCCACTCGTCAGTTACCAGCAGGACGCTCACGTGCTGGCTCATTAGCAACCATGGGGTCAATGATCTGATAGAGCAATCTTCCCTGCTCATCACGTTCTTCTGGAGCAAGAAATCCATACCAACGAAACTCACCAGGTCGAATCTTCTCCAGTACATTTGCTTCCATCTTCCGAACATAGCCCAAAGCAGTTATCTCGACCTGCAGGAAGCTGTATTCGAAGTAGTTGAAAGTTTGACACCATTGAACATCTGTGTCACGCCCGAGGGGCATATGGGTCGCACTCAAATCGATCCTGGAGGTATAGACGTCTGGCTGGATTCTGTGGCGCGTCTGCAGCTCTTCCATCTGTGGTGGGGAGAGAGCTATCCACAGCCGAATGCTATCCTCCATTGAGCTCAAATCGAGATTACTTCTTAGACTCAGCAAAGAAAATGGCTTCGCGACATTGATGCAAACATGCAACTCAATTGCCTTTCCATGTGGATTGATACTCACTGCAAACCTCTGTCCATGCTGATCTCTTGACTGTGAACCCTGCCGCTTACAGTTCTTCCAAACCAACGACTTACCAGTCTACAGTCACCTTCCAGTTCAACATGACAACTCCACACGTAAAAAAAACTCACAGTTTCACTACAGCAAATCCAACAAAAACAAACAAACTGTTCGTCCGTCACATGAGCAATGCAGACTCAAACGCTGCTAAAGCTGCTGAAGACACTCTTTCTTCTTTCTCTTCTGCATTTCAAACTGGAGTTTCAAAAAAATCAAACCTAATACTCCATGGTCTGCCCAACTTCTGGACCTGGACCCTGACCATTCAAATGAATTTGACGGCCATCTCACTAATACGGTACAACATGCGTCCTTGGTCATCCTGTTCTTCATGCTTCACAGGCCCATGCCAGCGATACTCGGTGGGCTTTGTCTTCTCCAAAACTCCACCCTCAACCTTTTGAAGGTAGCCAAGCGCTGAGATTTCCATCTCCATCACCGCATAGTCCTTCTGATGGTATTCACCTTTCAATCCATCAGGCGTCCAATCCATAAAGTATTGGGCACGATCCACCGCTTCCGCAGGTCCCAAACGCAGACCAAAGCGACCGGAGTATGCATCTGGAAAAACCTCATTCCCCTTGTTCAACTCTTCCAGCTGCTTGGGCTCTAAGGCAATCCAGAGCTTAAGTGACTCCATGTTCGAAAACACACACAGTGCAGCAGTCTCAAATGCTCTTGACACGAAACAGCTAGAAAACGGCTGCGGAAACATAAGCAGGCTATCTAACCAAACTCATACATTCAAAACAAACTATCAAGCATCTTGCGAGTGAAAACATCACAAAGACCGACCTAATGGCTTTCCGGTGTCGCTTTCAGCTTCATCGTTCTCAGCCAACGACCTACCACACCTCTAGGTCACATGTGATCCACGTTTCACGCTCGCAGCAAAACAAAACACATTTTTGTCCATCCCTATCCAGACAACCAACCGCAAAGCACTAAGGCTACTTCCACTGGCGTCTCCTCTCAAGCAAACAAGCTAAGGCTCATTGGTAACACTCAGACCAACCTCTCTGAGTAGTTCTTCCTCCAAAGTAGCTTCTGGGATGTCGTCTACGTCCACCAGCTCACTGTCTGAGACGCTACGCACATCATCACCAGAATTCGGCACTGCTTCTCCACCCTCACTTGGAGACTTCGCTGCATCTACCGGAGGTAGTTCTCTCCTGATACATGCCACATCTTCCTCCACATCTATAGGAGCAGGCGCTGTGGCAGCATCAACGAGAGGTGCCCGACGTTTCCTGGTGGAGGAAGGTTGACTTTTACAGGACTTATCCTTCACCTTCGCAGCAGCCCTCTTACTCTTTGGACGATCCAACTTTGTAGCCTTCTTGTATTGAAACTCCTTGGAGTGAGACATTCCAGCTCTACTTGAGGTTGGCTCCTCGTTCGAAAGTTCTTTCTGGTCTTTCTGGGTAGACATGGCAATCTGATCTACCACTGAACCTCTTGAGCAATCTGATCTACCTCTGAACCTCTTGAGCAATACTTGGACCCATCAGTGACATGCATGATCTCTACCTTCAATCATCCACAGCGCACTCCAAGACATAAAGTCTTCATGCGTATTGGGCTCAAACAAAAACAAATCTACCTTCAAATCGAGTGACACTGAAACGACAACTCAGAAAGCGATCTTTGCCTAATCATTCCAGTCACCTGATACGCCTTTTCTTATCACTCCCTCTCTATGGACCAACTGAGTTCAAGATCCAAGACATGCCTCAACTGTTTGCAAGAACCATGTACCTAACATCCTTAGTTCCCAGCCTTTGCACTCTGATCCATTACCTCAGTGTCCAGTGTCCAACCTGGCAATCAGTCGCTTTACCCGATTATGCAAATCAGCTCTTCTCGTCCTCACCTTAGTGTGGCCCATTGCAAGATTGCAGCAAGTTACCTACTGTCACTTCATACTGCCGAAACGAATCTCCTACGTCCAGGAACATTCCATCCATGCATACATCTCCAGATACTCCAGCGCAGCCCTGCAATAGTGACCCTACGCTAGCAATACGTCACGCCATGACACAGACCCCTACCAGAATACTGCCAAGACCACATGGACGCCTTCCACAGACTACGCACCTACACAAGGTGAAAATGAAGCTTGCTCCAACAGAATCCACTGTCATCACAAACTAAACAAAAAACTCAACTCCGCCATCCAAGTCACAAGTGTCCTTCCCAGGGCTGACTAATTCTGCATGCTCTTCTACAGGTACCACTGTCGACAGTCTACATGGGCCCACTCCTGTCCAGCCTACCAAGCACACACCCTGCCTACTCTTGTTTGACTTGCAAACGGATGATCACTTAAAACTAATAGATCCACGATCATCATGACCTCTAGAAGTCAATACAACCAAGAAACAGAGTCTCAAATTCACCTGAACCAAACAGACTCCAACCAACTTCACACTCCCTAGTGACCTTATACTTTCAGATCATCACCTCCTGTGAAACAGGTGCACCTTAGTACGAGCTCATCTCTGCTTCTGCGTCTAGATCACGGAGCTCCAATATCCAAGATCCCAATCTCACCTTAGATGACGTCCTTAGCATCTTGTCACAAACAAGGGTCAGCGGAAGATGGTGTGGGTAGCCCTTTTTCAGGGCTCCGCTACCATGTGAAAAACGTAAACCCAAGTACACCTCTCGTGTACCCAAATCAACGCTTTCATTATTTCACTACGCCAGACGCAAACACCTACTGTGGTTGCGGCTCCGCAGTTACTTACTTCTCTGCAATGTCAAATAAAGGAACTTGTTCCACCCTGACTCCTAAGTGCACGTCAGACTCCTTCTTTTCTCTCCAGACGCCACACACAACGGAACAGGTCAACAGGAACCAGGGCAGGCACACGGCCACAGCCCACAAACAAAGGAAAGAAGCAAGATGTTCCAGTGTGGCTCTGTTTCAAGTGCCCTAGGTGACACTGCAGTTCAGTTCGCTTCGGAACACTTGACACCACTCCCTTGAGCCGATGTCTCAACTGAGAAACTCGATTCCAGGTTTCCAATACACAACCTTCCCTCAAAGGTTGTTGAAACAATTCCAACCTGCTATGATATACAAATCACCTAGTCACAAAACGTCAGAAACATTTCCAAAAGTTCTCAAGTCAAACTGGTTCTCGTCCAAACGCAAATAACCAGCTAGCCGGTGTTACTAGTCTCTACCAAACGTCTAGACTAGTTACACGGCTCTTCAAGAACGAAATGATTCATTCAAATTCCTTTACAAAATCCTCTTGCAATACAGAACAACATGGAACCTCCTGTTCCATCTCCAAAACAGTTCTTCACACAGAGATGTCTTCTCATAGCTCCAAACTACCGTGGAGAACAGAATGTTCTGCTCGACTTCTCAGCTAATATCCAGTCATCAGCAGTCATAGCGCTAAAGTAGTTCGCTCACCATAATAACCAAACGTCAGCAATAAGTCACAAAGATAAAGGTCACAAAGCAGACTTCCAGATCAAATACCCAGATGTTGAATACTATACGTAGGCATTGTCCTCACAATGCCGGAGTATTTCACATGCTCGCAAGAGGTATTTTTTTTCCGTCCAACGCCTCCGAGGCTTTCGCCAGGTCGTTACACAAGCTTTAACTTGCCGGAAATTGAATTGATATGCATGAAAAGCCACAAAAGAGAGCTGGTGTGGACCTTTACATAGTCCATAAAGCTATCCAATTGCCGAGAGCGAGCACAAACCAACAAAAAAGCAAACGAAACAAAAACCACAAAAA